TGGTTCTTGTCAGTGTACTTGATTAAAGAAATTTCTTCAAGAAATTCAGTACAATCTAAAAACTCCTGGTGTTTAAAACATTAGGGATTAGTTTGCCTTGCTGACAGCTGTTTGCTCCTTTCCAAAGTCTTGGCTTGCCAAGTTGTGGGATGAAGAAGGTCAAGTTAGTGTTAATAATGTGTTAGTCAAGTTGTGGATGGTTGCAGGACCCTCGCTTTTTCAATGACTGCCAGAATTTATTTCTTTAAAAAATGCTGACACCTAGTTTTTCTAAAACAAATGTGGGACAAAAAGCTCGAAAGATGAAAGCAGTATCCGAGTAGTTTGGGCAGTCAAGCCAAGCTCGCCTTCTTAGTTCAGAGACAACATATTCTCAAAACTTGTTTTGCTGTTTTGGGAAAAATGGCTTTGGAACTGTGGTCGAGTTTCATCTATTTCGCATATGGTGTAATTTTCCAGTGCCCCCAGAAACTCTTTTTAGAGCTACTGTGTTTAAACCCATTAGCTCCGTGCACCCCTTGTGAAGTGGCAATAAAGACCGCCGCACAGGACTCTTGTGTGGGTCAAGTGAGATTCCGTATGAAAACACCTAGAAGGTTGTCTGGTGTTCCTTTTATCATGCCTGTCTCTTAAAAGTTATGCATTAACTAATATTGGGAACCGCTTCTCCACGGCTTGTCATTTCCTTCCAAATGAAGTCTTTATGGAAGAATGATTCCCTGGGCTCCAGGGCACATGGGTGTCTCGGGCTGGCTCCGAGAGTGCCGTGGTTCTGCAGAGCCTATAGTTTAACTTGTTTCTGCTGCGGCTGTTGGTTGTTGATTAGCTCAGCCGCGCCCATGCTCTGACCTATACTAGTCTGCTTTACAAGCTGTTCCCAGGCCGGCTAAATTAGAAGAGTCACGAGGAGAAGCCTTGGTTATTTCCATTCGCTGGAGAGGTGCAATGGGAATGTGGGCGGAAGCCCAGAGAGCTTCAGGATGATGCGGACGCAGGACTTTGATGGAATTGGTTTTACTGTTCTTATTAAAAATACAATTCTACCAGTATGTGGCTTTAAAAGATGATCTTTTAAGAAAAAAAAAATGTTGAACTTGTGTCTTGGTGTATAAAGCACAGTTTTGAAAGCGACGCTCTTACATGGAATATAGTTTATGTGCAACCCACTTCCCAGAGTGAGTTGTTTTTTATCACCTAGACTGCTTACGGAGAGAACCTGATGGGATTCTTGCTAAATGTAATTTATGAGGAAACTGATGTGTGATTGTATTCGTTATTTTAAAAGTCCATTCTTTTTTTAAAAATTAGCTTCATTTGGATTTATTTAGTAGGTGCTGTATCTTAGGATTCAGGATAGCTCTTTGGCTATTTATAGACTAGCCTTAAGTAAGTACAAATTGAATATTTTATTTATTATGTAATTGTCAGTCTATACTTAATTGAGATACATTAAATTTTACCCTTTTTTGCCCAAATTAGTAGAGGCCCTGACATTTTTATGTCTAGTGCTTCCATGTTTGAGTCTGAAATGTTTACTGTTTAGTGTATCAGTGTGCATGAGCAAGTGGTACTCCAGATTGTGTTTGTCACTTAGCTTTAACATGTGTGACTGCAGACGTGACAAGTGTCTTCAGCTGCTCTTTGTATGATGTAGTCGATTAGGCTTCAGGAAGTGGCTGTTTGGATAGGTGTGCACCCTGCACCCTGCAGGAAACGCAGTGGCAATCCCGAACACCCCTGCTAGAGAACTTGTAGAGAGTAGCACTTCAAATTTCATTTTAACCGGCCATTTTACCAAGTTGTTATTGACACTACCAGATTGATAGGTATGGCTATTATACATTATTACATACTGATGCCTGTGGTTTCATTAATGGGTTTTAGCCAATAGAAGAATTATTACCACCTTTTTCTAGACTGCTTGACTTACCCTTAGCCTGCCAGTAAGGCTGGTAACCTAGTAAACTGAGCGTGTGGAGATGACCGTAATCCCAGCTGAGTGGCGTCGTAACATCAGGTGACAGCAGTGGCTTTTTACTCTAGAATGCCTAGTTCACTGCGGAACACAGCTGCTTCCGACACTCTTGCCATGTGGCCAGGGATGTGTTCTGTATGCATTATTCCTTGCTGTTTGAGATCATATTTTCTTTGTAGGCTTTTTTAAAAGATGATTCTCACATTTTATTTTATTTGCTCTGTGAAATGTAATAACTGTACATGCTATAAGATTTAAAAGGCACAAAGTTATGCATTAAAAAGTTCCATTCTACCTTTGTCCCTCCGTATCCTTGGAGACAATAAATATTGATAGACCTTAATTTTGGTTGAAAGGTTTGTTCTACATTTCATGGACTTTTTAAGAAGATTAAGTCATACAAGGTTTTAGCCTTCCCGCCCCCTCCCACCCTCTGAAATGATAGTAGCACTAAGAATATAAGTTGGGGCAGAGGTGCTAGCCCAGCTGGTAAAGCGGTCGTGGTCAAGCCTGAGGACCTACCTGCTCAGTCCTCAGAACCCGCCTAGGCTCCATGCTTGTTGGTGTGTGCTTGTAGCTCTAGCCCCGAGGACCAGAAAGGCAGGTCCCTGGGGCTCTCTGGCCACCAGTCTAGCCCACTTGGTGTGTTCTAGGCCAAGGTGGAGACTGTTCCACGGAGTGGATGACACTGGAGGCACTGGAGACTGGGCTCCAGCCTCTACACATTCACACACACACACACACACACACACACACACACACCATAATATTTGGGAGAGTAGTTTTGCATACCAGTTCTGTGTAATCACTTAAGTAAATTTTAAGCCGATATTCTTACCTCCCTGGAGATTTGCAGAAACATGCATGTTAAGTGCCTATAACTCTCAGCCGAAGTTTTGTGGGTATATATTGTTCTGGTGAGTAGAACTTTGATCACATGACTTCCGTGTACACTTCTTTTGTTGATGAGGTTGAACAGCTCTCCTTTCTAGTTTTGGGGGAAGAATTTTTTAGTGTATGTATTAAACAGTATTTGCCCCACCCCAGCCCCGCCCTCACCCATCTCCTCGGGTCCATGTACAGTCACATCACTGCAGTCACATCACTGCAGTCACATCACCGTGCAGTCGCATCACTGTGCAGTCACATCACCGTGCAGTCACATCACTGCAGTCACATCACCGT